AGCCTGTGGGTGGGGATGTTCATAGTGCATTTGGGGGCACAAAAGTGAGCAGTTTGGCTGAAACGCATGGTCCCTGTTGGTAGTGTGGTAGACAGGACTGGAAAGATAAAAGTATTCTTAGGGAAGAAAGGCAGGAGAAGGATTTAGATTTGCAATAGGCAGAAATAATTTGCTTTGACCAGAAAGCTCAGCTTAAAAGTCTTATATCATGGTGAGTGATTCCATCATACTGCCTTTGAAAAAGAGCAGTTCACAGGAGACTCCTCAGGCCCACCCTTCTCTCTCCTGGCTCCTACCGCTTTTAAATGGAAGCTCTGGCAGCAGTAGGATAAAGAAGGGACAGCTACAAGGCCAGCTGTGCTTCTCAGATGCCTGGGTTTCCCCCTCAGTACTATACCGAGGCTCTTGCCACTTGCCTAGTACTGTACTTAGAAGTTCCCAAGACTAATGCGACCCAGGAAATACATCAGGCAAGTGCAGTCTTTATTCAATTCCAGGCTTCTATCTCAAATTCATTTTGTCTCTCTCTTACCTTGGTGAGCTTTGCTGGACAATGAAGATACCGTAACCCACCTTTCCCCTCTTTTAGCTTTAAACTTAGACCAGGCCAATCACAGGCAACCAGTCTCTCCTTATTTCCTTTCCCCTGCTCTTCCCTTTGCCCTGCTTAGGTCTCCTGCATTGAGTTTACAGTTAACGTGGGAGACAGTGGAGGAGAGAACCCACCTGGGGGAAAGAAAACATGGACCCCTTCGTTTCTGTCCTCCCAAAGCTCCACTCCAGGGGAAGTCAGCTATTCCTCATGTTCTAATGTTGATGATGTAAATCAGAGAGCCCCTCCCAGAGGTTAGAGTGAGGCTCTGCGGCTCCACCTTTGTATGCACCCAGTCCTTCTTCTTGTTAAGGCCCAGGGTTTAGCAGCAAGGCAGGTAGCTAACTGGGGGTACCATTGTCCCCTTAAAGAGAGATCAGGGTGTAGCCGGACCCCTCAGGGCAATAAGATGAGTGAGCATCAGAAAAGTCTCTCTTGCACCTCCATGAGGGTGCTTCTCCTAATGTTCCCAAATCCTGCTAGAGCCTCTAGAACATGTGAAAGCGGCACTTGGGCCCCTCCGAGCCTTTCATGATTTATCTACCCCTTCAGTGTTGCCAGGAAATAGATCAGGGCATCATTTTCACCAAGTGGACCCCAAAACCAGGCTATACAAAAGGCCCAAACAAAAGTTTACTTTTTCATCTGAGCCCCTGCCCAGCTACCTTGGATAGCCAAGTGTTCAGAGAAGTTTCCATCAAACATGGCAGACATCAGCGACAACACAGCCAGAGCAGCACAGTCCCTGCCAAACCAGGCAATGGCTGCTTATAGGAGAAGAGTAAGCTACCTGCCCTTGTTCCCACAGGTTGTTTTGAGGAAAATGGAAGTCCCTCCCCTCCCCTCCTTCCTGGCTAAGGTATCTGTGTTCTGTGGGGCTCCAGCCAAGAGCACTCGGCCCTCTTTCTGGCAGCTGTGGGCTGGGGAGTCTTCACGGGGGAAGGGCCAATCCCCTCAGCACCTCCCACCTGGGGTGAGTCTCCCCCAGCAAGTGTACTGTGGAAAGGCCTTCTTCTTCCTGTTTCCTTCATTAATTAACGTTGCTTATTTGCGGGTTCCATGGTAATGTAGAAATGTGGAAGTTACAGAGAAAGAACCGAGAGGCAGAAAATCCTCCCCCATGTGTGAGCCCACCATACAGCAGTAACAAATATCAACAGAGTTGTATTTCTCTCACAGCCTTTATTGTTTTTTTTATTAAGGTGTTATTGATATGCACTCTTATGAAGGTTTCACATGAAAAAACAATGTGGTTACTACATTTACCCATATTATCAAGTCCCCACCCATACCCCAATGCAGGCACTGTCCATCAGTGCAGCAAGATGCCACAGATCCACTATGTCTCTTCTCTGTGATACACTGTTCTCCCCGTGATCCCCCACACCATGTGTACTAAACATAATACTCCTCAGTCCCCTTCTCCCTTCCTCCCCACCCACCCTCCCACACCCCTCCCCTTTGGAAACAACTAGTGCCTTCTTGGAGTCTCTGAGTCTGTCACAGCCTTTATTGTGGCACATTTTCCTCACACCGTTGAGATCCTACTGCCTCAGAATGATAGCTACTATTTTATCATCTGCTTTTTTCCCTTAAGTAGCAGTTGTTCCATGGCTTTAAGAGTCTTAGTTACCATAATTTTAAACGGAGGCTTCATCTTCTGCCTTATGTATGCACTGCTATTTATATAACTTTTAAGACACAGAATACCACAGTACCAGACCCTTCTATGAAATTTATTGCTGAGAGATAAAGTAATAATGTATGGCATTGTTTGAGGGATTATTATATGCCAAGTATTATTCTAAGTGCCTCACATATTAACTCATTTAATGCTCATACAACTCTATGAGGCAGGCATTATTATTGTCCCCAGGTGATAGAAGCACAAACTGCGGCCCAGAAGAGATGAGTGACTTGCTGAGAGGAACACAGATAGTGAGTGGAAAATCTGGGCCTTTAACATAGGCAATGGGGCTCTAGAGTCTGTTCTCTAAGCAATTATAAAGCGGACCGTCCAGAACTAAGTAAAATCATTAAGGCAGCTTACAATCTAATGTCCAAAGTAGAGTAACATTTTTCAGTCAAAAGAAGTGTTAACCAGATCAAGAACATGTTCTATCATTGGTTTACATTCAAGACTCATAATACCAGTATCAGCCGTAATATCACACCTTCCCCAATGATATTACAAATCTTATGGGAAAGAGGATACACAAAGGAAAAGGCATTTTTACTTCTCTGAAGTGTTACTCTGTATGCTCCTATTATACAAGATCTACTACCTGCAAAGTTAAAAGTTTATTAGGGAGAAATCACCCATCAAGAGAGTAAATGCGATATTACCACATAGCAGGAGAAATTTAGCATTTGTGCCCTGAAACTTAGAGCAGCATTTTAAACACTTGGCTCTGTCAACAACTGTAGAGGGCTGCACCCCCAGGACCCAGAGTGCTCCCCAGTTTCCTTTCTTTTCTCTTCCACATCTTAAATATCTCCCCTGCTCCCCTTCCATACTGTCGGTGATCCAGCCCTTTCCCTGTCTGGTCCCTGATTTCCCCTCCCCAGTCCCTGATTTCCCCTTCCCGAAGTACTGTTGTGGGTGTAGGCGTTGGTCAGGGTCAAAACAGAGCTTCGTGAGTAGAGCTCTGCAAAGTAATGGCTGTTGACTTGCCTAGTGAAGTTCATCACCATGCGTTTCCAGACATCCTGGTATCCTGGGTTATCTCCCTGCACCTCTCCAGCCCTGATAGGGAGCCAGGGTGTGCTAGGCACTGTTCTGCTCCCATTCCTCATCTACCCTGTTAGGCTTCCTCCAGGAGCATATGTCTTTCGTAGTAGCCCCCTCCGAGGAAGCCTGCCCTAGAGCTGTTGCTGAGAAAGTGGCACCAGCTCAGGCCTGCACAGGCCTAGGAGGAAGGGACTTTGATTTATCCTGGCTAGTCTCCTTTTGAGGGCAGCCTCCCCTACCCCCTCACATTCATCATCATTCTTCCAGCAGAAAACCTGTGCTGAAAAGAATTCTGAGCTGGACCTGTGGCTGTGAATGGTGCCCAAGCATATACTGTCAGAGGCCAAGGAGAAGGTGAGCTCCTGCTCCCGTTTCCATCACTCCACTCCCTTCTGAGGGTCTTCGCTCCAGTACCCTCACTGTTAGCAGCAAGGGAAGTGCCCTCCAAAGAGGCTTTCTCTGGAGCCTCAGCCAGGCTTGGGCCACCAGCCTGTGTGCCCTCACAGAAGAGACCAGATGATGTTTCCTCCCTCTCACCCTTTTGACGCCAACCTTCATGCTCCCCATGGACTCCATCTTCAGTAGATGGTGAGGCTGTGTCTGCCTTCTCAGGGTCTATGCAATATGACAAAGCTTGCACAATTGCAGGCCAAGGAGCAGACACCTTTTTCTTCTTATTCTTCCCCTTACATGTGCTTCTCTGCCTGACACTTATCTCCCTGATGGCGACCAGAGGCCTCCTCAGCAGGGGGCTGACCTGGACTTGCCATGGGCACTGGGGCACCAGCCTCTGAATTCCAAGGCTGAGGGGAGAGTGCAGTCTTTTCCTCCTCGTCACCCGTCCCTTGCTCCCTGCTCTCATGCCCTACCTTGATTCTGGTATTAGCAACTGGCAGGACCTCCGTCACACTAGGCTGGTCCAGAGCCAGGGTTGCAGAAGAGGCCTGGGTGTGCAGTGTCAGAGGCCAAGGAAGATACACAATCTTCCCTTCCCTTGTATTCCTCCTTTTTTGGCTAGTTTTCTTCCCTACACTGCCCCCACTGTTGGCCCCTTGCAGTGCAGCACTAACAGGGGCCCCATCTGGGCATGGGGTATCGGCATGCCCACTTGGACAAGAACCAAGTGCGGATGTGTTTTCCATGTCACCACTGTCTCCATGATGCAGCTTTTCCTCCCCCCCATTTACCCCTCTCCTTGTGGTGAGTGTTGCATCTTCAGGTGGAGCCTGACCTGCATGCAGGGCTCCTGCAGACTGTGCAGCTGGGTCTGGGTTGCTTGCTTGGGTCATCTGAGGTTCCACGTGAGCCAAAATGTCTTTTTCCATATTTCCTCCTGCTTCTGCTTTGCTTTGCTTTTGTTTCTGGATCAGGTAAAGCATTCACCTGGAGCAGAGAGAGCTGAAGTCATCAAAGAGGCAAATATGAGTTGTAGTCAAGGCAGCAGAAAGTTCCTTCTGGAAGGAGAGTATCAAGCCCCGGGCCTGGGGGTGTGTGTGTCTCATCAAGGATACCTGAAGCAGTTTAGGAAGAGAGCAGATTGGGGAGGCCATGAACAAGGGGAGGGTGTGAGACAGCTGTTCTCATTGGCAGGTGGCTCACTGGTGGAGGGCTAAATCCATCACAACCTCCCACAAAATGCTCCCCTCCTAGGTCAGTAGTACGTAAACTTGCAGTGACCTCAAAATACAGATGTGACACACGATTGTTGATCTTCAGCAGCCTTCCCTATCAGTACTGTGTGCTTTGAAAGCAGAGGACAACCCTGGAGAAACAACAACAACACAGATATTTGGATAAATATCCCATTTGCACCTAAGGGATATAGACACATTGGTTAAGGGTCAGGTATAGACTTTACTACTGTTAATACCTTTTGATGCTTTGGGTAGTCTCAGGAGATCAAACCATAGGTGAAAAAACAGCTGCAGTTGTGCCTGTAAAATCAGAGAAAGAAAGCGTCATCTAAGTGAGCCTGACCAGGAGGCCCTGGGTGCCAGTCTGAGCAGACTCTTACCTGGAAATGCTCTGTCAGAGTTTCCTCTCAAACATTCTCTTTTGTTCTGTGCAGAGGAATTGGTGCACACACCAGTGATCCAGAGAGTCTACATGAATTGGGAACACAACCTCTTCATTAATGGTTAAAGAGATTCTGTTCAGTTCAGTATGGTGTCAGCATTTAGGTCTCCCTTGCTGATTGCTGATTCTTTGCATGTAGAAAATCCATCTGGGCTGGGGGCCTCATTCTATTAGCCAGTACAACCCATTCTTCATGCATTCTATGTAAGCAGAACTATAGAGAGTTTCTGTTTTACAGATTCATGAAATGCGCAGTCCTACTCTGAATTCCAGTCCCTTTCTAAGCTTTCTAATGTATTATATATATGTGCAACATTATCTTGGAATGTGCTAATTATTTATATAGTGTCCTTTCTCTCTGAACGTTTTTTGCTGGCTTGATCAAAAAAAGGAACAAAAAACAATAAATCAAGGAGGGATTACACTCCCTTTCTCTAGTTATGAGTGAGGAGAGAACTCAATGAGGCCTCTGTGTTTTCCTTTGATAAGAAAGCATAACCACACAAAAGAGCAAAAGCAACTTCTGGCATTGACCTACTAGGATTAGAAACAGAGAAATTCTCTTTGTTTTTTATCTGGAATGTGTTTTTATCTAGAACAAGAAACATGGCTATGTGACTGCGGTGTTCCCAGTGGAGATGTGGGAGGGCCCTCTGGACCTTCTCTTCGTGCTACAAAGGGCCTAGAGCTATTTTTGCACTAGCAATACTCTCACCCAATCCTCTTTCAACTGCTCCCAATGTCAGCTTGTAGAAACAAGAATCATACCTTAAAAATTACATACACCAATTACCTACCACAGTTTCTATTTAAACATCTTGCCTTCTTCACTGTTTCGTGCTTAGGTTAAATAGTTGCAGAGCTAAGCCTAGCTCAGCTCATGACAAATGCAGAAGTTACCACTACATAAAAGCCACTTGACTGGTTGCTAAGATGCCACAGTAGCTGAAATTTATCTTACTCAACCCAGCAAATTTGAAGGTCGGGTTCCCACACTGTGAGTGGGTCTGTAGTCTAGTAGCTCATGTACATTACCCAAGCACACAAAGCCAGATCTGTCTGCATCTCTATTGTCTCTATCCACATCCACATCCATGTTCCTAACTATACCTATAGCTATGTAAACTACCTTCTTCCCTGGACTTCCCATAGGGGTTAACTGCTTGCCTCAGGCTCCTTAGATTTCCCTGTAGTGTGCTGACCCTTTTATTCATACAGATTCATTCATTCACTCAAATAATTAATGACCCTGCTATGTGCCAATCCTGAGACTATGTGCAGTAGACTATATATTTAGGCTTCAGGTTACTTAGTTACAGAAACATTTCATCTTGTTTTCTCTGAGATTACTACTTTGATTGACGTTTTACATGTTTCCAAACCTCAAGTCACACATTTACAGGCACTCTCTTGGTTCTGGCTCTCATAGATTCTAGTAACAGCCTTCTACATTGTACTGTCACCATTTTCCTTCCACATTTTCAGTTAAGGGGTAACAACTGTTTGCTGCCCATTGATTTGTGTTTTACATGAGAGTCCAGTTTACATGGGTTGCGGTATAGGAACTGTCTGATGTCCCTCTTTGGAGAGGCTGGAACCTTTCACAGTATGCCTAATAGACAGGGTCCTGTGAGGGGCGAAGATCTGAAATCAAGTGCTGACCGAGTTGGGAACCAGAAAAAACAGCCCATAGCATTTAGGATTCTTCTATTTCAAGTAACCAAAAACAAACAAACCAAAAGATCCCAAAACAGGCAATTTACAGCTCACTATAAGCTTCAATGTTTAGGGGTAGAGCCAACCATATGCATGCTTTCATCCAGAGTTCAAATTATTTCACCAGGATCCATCAGAGACACTTCATCAAGGTTGGTTTCCATTTTTAGGCTCTTACTGGAGACCCCCTGGTGCCTTCAGCCTCACAATGCCTAATCCAGCAGTGGCATTCCCTTCCCTGGTGGAGCAATGGAAATCCCTAACTTGAGTTTTGTTGGTACTGACCGGCCATGGGTTGTATGTCCATCACTCAACCAATTGTGGATGCACTGTCTAAATATAAGGTGGCTTCAAATTCAAGAGGGAAGCTGGAGAACAAGAACAAAAGCACATAATCAGAGATGGTGGAGCAGACAAGGAAGGTGATTAATGAGGCATGGAGAAGAGAATAAAAGCCTAAGGCAATTTCTGAGAAGGAATTTAGACATTGGCATTTTTTTAAAATAGCTTTACTGAGATATAATTCACACACACAAAAAAATTCCCCCTTTAAGGTGGTTTTTAGTATATTCATGGAGCTGTACATTGATCACACACACACATATGCTGTACATACACACACACACACACACACACACACACACACACATGCTTCCCCAAATGATTTGTGAGCAAATTAGAGACATCATTCTCCTTTAACCTTAAATTGTCCAATGCATATTTTCTAACAAGAAGGTCATTCTCTCACATAACTACAGTACATTTACCTAAATCAGGAAATTTAAAATTAATACAGTACTATTATCTAATCTATAACACATATTCAAATTTGTCATTTTTATGAATATTGTCCTTTATTCCTATTTTTTCCCAGTTCAGGATTTGAAACAGGAAGATATATTGAATTTAGTTGTCATGTCTTATTAATCTCCTGAAATCTGTAAGAGTTCCTCACTCTTTGTGTTTTCATGACATTGACATATTTGAAAAGCCCAGATCAGTTATTTTGTGGAATGTCTCTCAATTCGGGTTGTCTGTTTGTTTTATCATGATTAAATTGAGATTATATATTTTGGGCAAAGATACCACTGATGTTATGTTGTGCCCTTCTCAGTACATCATGTTAACAGGCACATGATGTCAGATTGTCCCAATATTGGTAGTGTTAACTTTGATCACTTGAAAAGTGATGTCCGTGAGATTTCTCAATGTAGCATTGCTGTTTCCTTTTGTAACTAAGAGGTCATTTGTAGGGAGCTATCATTTGGTTTTCCTAGGATCAAATGAGATGATGTACATCAAGTATCGGACACAATGCCTGGCACATTTTAAGTGTACAAAAAATGTTAGGCATCATATTTGATATTGCTCCTATTCTTATAATTGCTATTGCTAACCCAAAGTATTTTAAGACTTAGACTTAGTATTCTACACCTTACGTGATATGAAAGGAGAAGTAAGGAACATAGAGCAATATAAGTTAATAAAATATTGACTACAAGTATTAGGTGGCATGTTGGACAAGATGACCTCTGTGACCATAGAGCCTTGGGATCCTAGATTCTTTGTTTCCTGAACTACTGGCTAATTATGAGACCCTTGAGAAGGCTGTTGATGCAATTTAATTAATTTTGCACCCTTGTTTGAGGTCATCTTTACTTATTACTGTGCTGTATTCCTAGAAGTCACATAATAGAAGGATCATTGTAAGTAGGTTAATGGATTGCTATCAGAGCAACATCATAATTAGATGATATGTTCCTAATTATGCTCAAACTAAATCATAGCTAAAGTGGACAAAGCAAATATGGAACAACTGTACATTTAATCAGAACTATTTTTAAAACATTAAAAAAATCAAAGTTATGCCTATGTACAAATAGACCAAACAGTACAAATGATCTTATGATGAGAAGTAATAGTCTCCTGCATCTCCCCTCTCCATTCCACGTCCACATACCAGTGTCAACCTCTCAACAGTTTGATTTCAGGTTTCCTGTTGCTTACCATCTTACATCTAGATCAGAGATCACACACTGAAGGCCAGTGGGTCACATCTTACCCAAAGATGTATTTTGTTTAGCTTACATAGTGTTTTCTTTTCCCCCTTACATAGTTGTTACCATCTTAAAATTGGTATATTTCATATAAAACCATAATTCCAGGCTTTCTTGAGAATTGGAACCTCTGAACCTGTATTGTGCAGCCTGAGCTGGATAGTAGCTGCTCTCTCTTTCAAGGCTGGCACTCTAGTACACTGTGGTCTCCACCTAATCAGCATTATACCTTTGCTACAGGCATGGCCTTTCCAGGTATTTGAGTTTGCAATCTATGCTTTATCTACTCAAAATAAAGCTTTCCTATTAGCAACATGGGTATCACCTGGGAGTGTCTTAGAAATGCAGAATCTTGGGCCCCATTTCAGACTTGCTGAATAAGAATTTGAATTTTAACAAGACTGACAGGTGGTTTGTATTCATTTTGAAAGTTTACAAAACCCTGGGGTAGAGAATATGCTTATATCTAACCCAATTTCTTGGTATATCAGTTTTGGACCATCTCTATCTACTACATAGTATGAGAGGTGAGGAGGTGAAATTGCAAGCCCTTAGTTGACATACATCTTCAACTTCACTAGATATCACTAAATTATGCTCCAAATTAGTTTCACAAATTTTCACTGTTACCCACAGAGTGTGAAGCCCCATCTCTCCATATTCAGGTAATTTTTAGCCAATCTGATGGGTGTTAAATGGTACCTCATTGCTTTACTTTGCATTTCCCTGATGACTAGTGAGGACAAGCATTTTGTCACATGTATATTGTCTATTTAGGTTTCCAGTTTTGTGAATCACCTGTTTATGTGTCCGTCCTCCCCCCTACCTGGGGGTTATATTTCTTTTTTACTTATTGATATATATTCTGAATACTAATCCTTTCTTAGTTATATGCATTGCAGTTATCTTCTCCCAGTCTGTGAATTGCATTTTTATATCTTGATGTGTTAAGTTGTATAATAGTTTTAAAATATAATTAATTAAAATGTATCAATAATTTATTTTTGGTTTGGTCTTTTTGTGTTTGATTTAAGAAATCCTTCCTTACCTTGAGATTATAAAGTTACCCTGTAGATTCTATTTTTAAAGTTTTCAAGTTTTGCTTTTCATATGAATTTCTTTAATCCTTCTGAAATTTATTTTGCATATGGTGTGAGTTAGGATTATTCTTGGCTCTTTTATCATCCCATATTAGGATTAATATTACAACTGTACTGAATTGATTGATTCATTTTGGGAAGAACTGACAGCTTTATAATA